GACTTACATCGCGTACGGCATCACGTTTCTTAGCTGCTGGGTCGTTGCTCTTGGTCGATCCATCGGCATTGAGAAGCGAGTCGGTGACGGTCTTGTAGAGACGCTCAAAGTCGGGGTTGTTCTTCAAGACTGCTTCATCTATTGGAGGCAACATCTCGTTAATTATTTCTGATGTTGATAGCGTAAGATGAGACGGCGGTAGGTATGTGACATCAATGTATGTACCTAGCGGTGAACCCCGCGATAATTGATAAGGAGAGATAGTCCCGGAAATCACGAACGTGGAGCGTTGTCACATGAGATCATTGAGAGAGGAGGAGGAAATCTGCATAGGTACATAATTATCTCATTAAGTTGTATTTATTCAGATATCGAAGCTCGGTAGCGATTGATGAAATCGATAAACTATTCGATAAACCGTCCGATAAGAAATCTTCACGATTGCATCTGTCCACCCCGTTCGTCCACTCATTCGGCCACTAATTCCACCTTGGATATCCTTGAAGCTTTTACATATCCAACGCTCACAACCAATTCAGTACCAATTCGGTGCCAACTTGACCAATCCTTCTCGTAGTCGCAGGCTTGAGGGTATCCATGCTACCGTTATAATAGACCCGGCGAGAATAGAATATCATTAACCCACACAATCAGCTCACAAGATGCCGCCGATACGAATTCCAACCGTCCCGTCACGGTGTTGTCTTTCCTCGACTACATTTACATGCGCAGAAATACTCTCTTCCCGAAACGTAATACGGCCCTTCAGCACGACTATATATCTGTCCAGACAGAAACCCTCGCACCTAACAGTGCCCTCGGACCAAGTACCCGACTACCCGTATGGGCGCTTCCGAACGTACAAGCAGGCCAACCAAGGTCTATTTGCAGGTTCCAAGATCCGCTTCGGCAACACCGTGGCTGAGGACCACGGCAACAAGTCGCGCACTAGTTGGCTACCTAACCGCCACGCCAAGCGCCTGTGGTCGCCCTCCCTCAACGCCTTCATACGCACCCGTTTGACCGCGCGTGTGCTACGAACTATCGACCGGCTGGGCGGCATCGACGAGTACCTTCTAGGAAGCAAGGCGCAAAGAATCAAGGATCTGGGACCTGCCGGCTGGGCCCTTCGCTGGAAGATCATGCAGACGCCCGCTGTTCGCGAACGCTTCGCTCGAGAACGGGCTGCGCTAGGCTTACCCCCCAAAGAAGAAGTACAAACGTCACTTCCCGGTGAACTCGCCGCTGACGGAGTTGCGCCCGAGGCTGTACTGAGCGAGGTTGACAGCATGCTAGAGCGCGGCGATGAATTCGTGATAGGTGAAGTTCGGGAGGGCGAGGAGGTGATTATCAAGGCAGATGCCGAGGCTATCGAGGAGGCGGGGGAAGCTTCTAAGGAGGTTGAATTCTTCATGGAGGAAAAGGATCCTAAGGGGGATGCGAAGACATTAAGACCGTGAACGGATAGGTTTAATTTGAGCTTCACGAGCAACGTAATGGGAAATCAACGTCTCTAGGCGAAGGAAGCACATGGGGCACTGTACCATCTGATGAATTTGTACAAAATACATCTAGACGCAATTCTATATGCCGCCAAATACCATGTATCATATTGTTTTCACTTTTAGATCCTACACGCCAACTCCAAATCGAAAATCCCTAAAAGGGCTTATTCGCGCCCAAATCTACGATACCTTTCTTAAAATCGCAAATCCCATCCGATCTGGGGGCCTAGCTTAGGCAGCTCATCAGCAACACTCTGTACATCCTTGTCTCCTCTACCACTAAGGCAGATGACTATGTCTTCGTCTTTCTTCATCGTCTTGGCTAGCTCGATGGCCCCGTAGATACCGTGAGCTGACTCGAGCGCCGGGATGATACCTTCCAGCTGGCTCATGAGTTTGAAGCCGATGAAGGCTTCGGCATCGGTAGCGGCAATGAATTTAGCCCGTTGTGAGTCCTTCCAGTTTGATAATTCGGGTCCGACGCCCGGATAGTCGAGCCCAGCTGAGATCGAGTGCGTGTCCGAGATCTGTCCGAATTCGTTCTGTAAAACGTAGGTCCTTACGCCGTGCAGGACGCCCTTAGTACCTCCAGTTAATGTGGCAGAATGCCGCGTCGTGTTCACTCCGTCACCACCTGCTTCCACACCTAGCAGCTTTACGCTAGGGTCATTTGAAAAGGGGTAAAACATGCCAACGGCATTACTGCCTCCACCAACACAAGCTACAACAGCATCGGGTAACTTGCCTCTCTTCTCTTGCATCTGCGCTTTTGTCTCGTTGCCGATGACTGACTGGAATGTTCTGACAATAGTAGGGAAGGGATGGGGACCGATGGCGGACCCGATGATATAATGAGTATCGTGGAGGTGGACGACCCAGTAACGGAGCGCCTCGTTGACAGCATCGCGCAAGGTCCTGCTGCCAGCTTCGACTGCAATGACCTTGGCGCCAAGAAGTCGCATTCGGAAGACGTTCAATGCTTGACGCCGGACATCCTCCTATAACATATTATCAGTCATTGTCGGATTCCGGCAGGGGAGAATGGAGAGACTCACAGCACCCATGAAGACTGTGCATTCCATGCCAAACTTGGCGCAAACCGTGGCAGTTGCTACACCGTGTTGGCCAGCACCAGTCTCGGCGATGATCTTGGTTTTACCCAGCCGCCTCGCCAGAAGAAGTTGCCCTAGCGCGTTGTTGATTTTGTGGGATCCGGTGTGGTTCAAGTCTTCTCTCTTCAACCAGATGTTGGCGCCGCCAGCATGTTCGGTCAGACGTTCAGCCAGATGTAGCTGACCTGGCCGTCCCATCCAGGGGTAGTATGATCTGTATTCCTCCCAGAACTTGGGGTCGTCCTTGATAGCGTTGAAGCCTTCTTCCAATTGGGATAGACAATCCATGAGAGACTCCGGTACATACTGGCCACCAAACTCACCGAATCGCTCGGGAATCTTACCATGGAGAGCCGCAAGTTGAGCAACCAAGGCGGCATCGTCATGCTCGGAAACTACCCCGTTGACCGTCACATCCTCGCCGCTAGGCTCCTTGGCTGCACCTATAGCTTCAACCACACCAACCTCTCGCGTCGTTTCTTGCGTCGTCCGTCCACTTACATGAGCGCAATACTCTTCAACAGCTTGAGCGCCCTTGCCCGGCTCTGCCTCCTTGAGAATCGTAATAAGCTGCGAGCCAATGACGACACCGTCGGCAATGGAAGCCACAGATTGGAAGTGTTCACGCGTCGAGACACCGAAACCAACAGCGGCCGGTTTGTCGCCACTATACTTCTTGACCCGCTCCAGGAGATTCGGCAAATTAGCATTAAGGGTACCCAGAGCACCAGTCACGCCCATACGTGAAACGACGTAGATGAAGGAATCGGCCAAGGCGCACAAGAGGCGCATACGGGTATCGGATGTTGCAGGCGCGATCAGAGGAACATAGGATAATGATCCCTTGCTGCAAAGCTTCCGGAAAGAGATGGCTTCTTCGGGGGGTAGATCGCATACAATGAAGCCATTGATACCGGCGGCCTTACAATCACGTAGAAGCTCGTCCTCTCCGTAGCTGAGTAATGGATTATAGTAACCCATCAGCAAAACCGGTGCAGTAAGCCCCCTGGATCGGGCATCGCGAACCATCTCCAAGGTGGACTTGATGGTGACGCCATTGGCGAGGGCGACGGTATTCGCTGTCTGAATAGTAGGGCCGTCTGCGATCGGGTCTGTGAAAGGCACGCCGAGCTCGATTACATCTTGACTTGGTTAGTTGGTACTGTCGATAGACACGATGAGGTGTATTCGCTATTCGCCACAACATACCAGCACCACCTCTCTGCAATCCTAACAAGATGTCGGGAGTATCCTCAGGCTTTGGGTAACCTGCAGTGACATAGGTCACTAAGGCAGCCTGTATATATACAGATATTTGGTCAGCAATTGAGCTTATATCGAGAATTGGCGATAGCTTAATAAACTGTGTAGATGCAATGTAAGACAGAGTGGTTGAATCATACCCGGTTTTCGGCCTTGCAGCGCTTGAACGTCTGTTTAAGAGCTTCCATGATGTCTAGACTAGATCAATTGAGTCAATGGAAGAGAGAGGAACAGAGGTAACTCGAGAGGACGAGAAGTGACTCTTTAAGAACGAGTTGCAGTCTGAGTCAACATGAACGACATTTCAATGTACCAAGGTATTTCATTTTCCTTTTTCCATGTCAAGTATTTTTCCCAATGCGATAACCGGAGTGGAGGGGTCCAGGTCCATCATTCTTTCCAACCCCACCATCCCACTATCCTACCACCCACATACAGGTAGTGTACCTGCCTAGGTACCTATCTAATCCCTGCTCACCGTCCCCCGATCGTGTTCATTAAGTACATGTAAGCCACAAACGCCACTCTTAACAAGCTCTAAAAGAACAAATTTTCATTGGCCACCGTTATAAGACCCGTTTTCAAAATTCAAACTTTTGCACTTATTTCGACATCTTCATGAGAATAATGATCATTTGCATTTACATACACTGGGCACACTTCACTGCTTCATAATACTATATACTCTAACCTCTAATTAAAAATTATAAACATTATTGATGCTTACTGTTGCTCTAGTTTACCCATAAAGTGCTTCCAATGGGAGAGAAACCCTTGCATAGAGATATAAGAAACCATGAATCGAAAAGACCAAAATAATATCAAAACGTACAACACCAGGGATTCGCTGGTCGTCACCGACCCAACTACTAATCTGGCGGTATCTGGCTTATCAAAGGGGAGAGCGGACGGGATCCCGAGTTTTCCAGATCCTATGGTCGTACGTGAAAGAATACGCAGCTATACCAGTATATTAGGTAGGTATCGTGTAGTTCCGCAAAATACTCGGGAATCTGGAACCATTCGGGTGTCTGTAAGATCCACCGTGATGGTCTAGCTCGTGCCCACAAACAGCGGATACATAAATTTGATCAAGGGCCGATAGTATCTCAACAAGCCAGGGCGCATGGCCTAATGGTAAGGCGTCAGATTTCGGTTCCAGCTACGGTTATACTGTTCTCTGAAGATTGCAGGTTCGATCCCTGCTGTGCTCGTGATTTTCCTTTTTCGTGCTAAATCTTTTTTTCCCTTTCTCTATACTGAGTGTATACATGTATGTAGTGATAGATATGTTCCTAATCTTCGAGCACTGCCATGTAAGAAGCTTCGAATTATCTTAATATTCATAGTATTGCGTGACCAAGGTCTCTCTTTTAGTATTATTAACCAAATCATACATGTACCTAACATGAGTGTTATTATTAAGCCGGAATTGTATATACTTTCCCCCATCTACAGTACAAGAACGAATCAACAATACATATGCCCATCCAAGTATAGATGCGTGAGTGAAGAAAAATTCCTTACCTTAAGTACCTAAGTCCGCTTAAAGCGCCTAACCAATCAGAAGCCATCATTTAAGAAAATAAGGAAAGATGAGATAAGATAAACCGCCGGCAACCCGCTAATTACCTAGGTACCTATCTAACGGAACAGTAGCAACAGTAGCGTAAAGCTTTATAAGCTCGGCCGACATCATCCGGAACTCTGTCCCGGCTTTATTCATTCAGTCCATTGCCACCCGCACGCTAGAGTTGTGACCGAAACTTGCACTATACAGGCTATATCAACCATCAACCTTGTAGGTATCAATCTACACCAAGACGATTCTTCCATCACGAATTGGGAACTGCTGGACAGCCTTAATCGTTCCTCGACTACCTCCTCTAGTTACCATTTCGAGTTACCATTTCGACCATCTTTCGCACGAGAAATCGGATAATCAACTTAATGGCATCCCGTCTCCCCCGCCTCATCCGCCTCACACGGCTTGTGGGATCATACACACCCTCACAGCACTTCCCGGTAGCATCTCTCCCTATTCAACATCAGCGTCGCGCCTCAAGCAATTCCAATCCATTCCAGTCAATGCCTTCTCCGCCGCGCCTCCCTCCCGACCAGCAGGCCGAGTTCGAGCGGCTACAGCGCACAGCCAATACACAAGAAGGCTTCAACCCTACCTCAACCCCGGACTTCAGCTCTCCTGTTTCCAATCCCCCGATTACCGGTAGCCCGTCGGCAGTGGACGGACGAACAGCTGCTGCGCCGGCCATTGAAGACGACTTCGCCTCGGTTCCCTTACGAAAAGGCGCGCCACCCGAGTTTGAGGGCGACGTTAATCCTAAGACTGGTGAGGTAGGAGGGCCTAAGAACGAGCCGCTGCGCTGGGGGCCCGGCGGCGATTATAGCTTTAATGGGCGGGTAACGGATTTTTAAGACAATGATTGCGCTTCTCGATGCAGCAATATCCCGTAGCCGCATCAATGCTACACAATACGATTGCTGTTGGTTGATACGCAGAAGAGGTCTTGTGCCCTTCATGAAAGTCTCAGTCTGACGAAAAGAGCCGGGGTGAGCTAAGGCCTGGCTCCTCCAGCTGGGATTCGACCAGTCACGAAAGGAGGCATAACGACATCTTGTCAACCCGGTGGCGATTCATCGGCATCGTCTTACCCATACCTTACTCGGTTTAGTGATATTCGCATTGCCCTTTTCCGAGTAAGAGTCATCTGTGTCTCTACCTACCTAGGTATACAGTCGATGAAACATCCTAAAACATCGCAATTGATCAAAGCCACGCTATTTCTAGACTGGGGATATTAGAACGAACGACTTGAACGTTGGGGCCTGCGACGCAGTATCAAGTTGGGACAGGGATACCACAACTTGACTGCTCACGTTTGTGTGAAGACGGGTAATCTTTTATTTTTTAAAGGTTATGCGAGTGATAGATTAACCCAGCTGTTCTGTACGGGTGATCTAGAGTCGTCATTGAGAGCGCTCTGTAGGAATCCTGTGCTTGTAAACCAATTTGCTTCCAAGTCGGTGCTATATGAGAGTCAAGATGACACATCACAATGATCGGGGATAGTTGCCGTAACCAGTATTAGATAGTAAATTCATTACTCCCCCTACCATAGCCATGATATGCTACCGAGTGATCACCCATTCTACAAATGTACAACGTTGAATGATCATATTATATTGTAACCACATAATTGTTGCTCTAGACTCCACGCTATGCTATGCAAATATATAAAAGGGGAACACAGATAGGTATCTTGGAAGTCAACGACGTAAGAGATAAAGGGAAAAGGCAGCACTGTATCAGATCTCATTAATATACATCTTTCCAGCTCTAGCTTCAAATATTCCTTATATCATTAGTCAGATCCGTCCCCAGTTGTCGCTTTTCTCTCCCGTCATGCAGACGGCCTCGGAGCTCATGTTTACGTAGAAGCACTTGCACCTTCGTCCGTTCCACGTTTCTCCAATTGTTCTCTGGCAGCAATGGTAGCAATAGCATCTATCATCTTCGTACTCTGACTTTCCGCAGAGTTATTCTTGTCCCCGACTTCGCCTTTTAAATCTGTGTTCGTGTCTGCACTAAGGTTTTCCTGGTCTGGCGTAGGAATACTCCCATTTGACACAGCTTCGGGGCGGTTCTCCTTATTGCCTTCTTCGTTACTGTCGGTCGACTTCCCACTATTCTTCTCCTTGCCAGCGCTAATATCCCTTGTCGCTGCTATTTTGCTTAGGATTTCTTTCTCGCCAATATCCACCAACTGACTCCGGTTGATTTCACTCATGGCTTTCCTAATTCTTTCCCTACGCGCCTTGCCTCGAAGCCTACTCTGTGGCGCCGCACCGTCTACCCAACGCACGCTTTGGATCATGAAGCTAATCCCATCGTGGATTGACTTACGTCCGTTGTATGTCCCGCCAAATTCACGGCTCTGGATACCAAAGCGCGTAGAACTACTGTACTTTTCAAGCGCAGGTAGTACGAGAAGCGTTACATGCAGATCACGGTCTGCGGGTACATGAACAGGGCCGGAGGCCGGCGGCGATGTCAACACCTCGAGATGCTGCTCAGCTGGCACCGAACGCTGCTTCTTCGAGTTGGACGGCTTGTACAAATCTAGCAGATCGACGTCCACGTCATCCCCCCATTCACCCCGAATCCAGCCAGCGTGAATACACGCGGCAACGACATCAGAGTCATCCGTATAGACGTCTGTGCCCCAAACGGCCCGGCGCGACGTAATTTCCTCGCGAGCAGACGGACTTAGATGCACTCGAGGGATCTTGACAGTCAAGGTCGAATTCTCGTTGCCTTTAATCACGTCCATGGGGAGCGGGCGCGGGTTAGACGAGTACCCGAATTTAGAATGTGATGAGTCTAGCTTGCTAGGTTTCAAAACCACTTGATACACGACATCACCGAGATGTTTTCGCGGGCGATCCGCAACGCTATCGAGGACCGCTTGAGACAAGATCTTATGCTTCGGTTTCGGAATGATGGTCGAGCCGGGCGCCGCTGGCTTCGAAGACGGAGCTGCGACTGATCTAGGAGGTGGGTGATGATGAGTGAGAGCCGTAAAGTCTTTACGTGTTGGAGATGGTATCGGTGTGTTAGTTTTGAGATTCTTGATTTGCCCATTGGCCGCTTGAAGAGGCGAAGTGGTTCTCTCCGGGCCGTGATGATGGTGATGATGATGACTAAAAAAAAGATTACAATAAATATCGGCCGAAGCACGTGGAAGATAAGAGTTGCTACTTACTGGTGGTGATGATGATGAGCGTGAGTCTTGGGCCGCTTGGCCCGGCCGACTGGCGTGATCCTACCAGTACTATCTTCATCCCCCTTGCCGTCCTCGTCCTTGGCCTTCCTTCGTTTACCTCTCGCGCCCGTCTTCACAGGAGCGTCGGCCAGTAACTCGTGGCCGGGATGCTCATCGTCACGTCTCGCGGGACCTGTGTTTGAGAATTGGGGTTGTATGCCGGGTGGCACTGGGCTAGAGACACCGATCCCACGCACACCGCTTCCTATGCCGGAGAACATGCGGCCGAATTCACTCTTAATTCCGGGCTCGCCAGCGGGGCCCTGCGACTGTGGTTGCGCTCCCTGAACCGCTTGCGGTAGCGGAGATACCCGCCCTTTGCGGTTGATCTCCTGAATGCCGAGGAAGCTTCTCTGATGGCCCGGGGGAGCTGGACCATCATCTATGGGACGTCGACCTGCTTCGAACGCAGCTGAACCAGGTCCGCCATTATACGCAACTGAAGGAGGAGGCGGGCCTTCCTCGGCGGGTCGATTTCGATGGGCTGCTGGTGGTGGCGGTTGCTGTTGAGGGTGTGCCTGAACAAATCGATGCCTGTCAGGAGACTCGAATGGATGAGTAGGCTGCGGGCCCGGTTGGGTCGCTGGTATCACATGAGGAGGCGGCCCGGCTGCTGGAAAGCGTTCGTGGGGAGGAGCCTGCGTGTATGCAGGATGCGTTCCGTACGGTGCTGATGTAGTCGAAGGAAATTCGCCTGGCCGCGGGCCGGGATACGCCTGGCCATACGCATCTCTTGGTAGTGGTTGATCATAGCCAGGTCGCTGCCAGGGCGCAGGATCTCGAGGATCAGATCTTCCATATGGAGGTTGTCGCGAAAGTACCTGAGGGCCGGGTTCTCCAGGATGTTGGCCGTGGGGACGACTCGGGTCGGATGTGGTCCTTTCCCTTCTAGTCCTTTCGCGCATTTCCATATCTCTTTCCCTCTCCCTATCTCGCTCTCTTCCTCTTTCTCTCTCCCTTTCTATTTCGCGCGCTCTCTCTCTTTCTCTCTCGATACGGTCTCTATCGGCCATGAAAGTGCGCTGTTCTTCGTAATGCATCCTCTCCCTGTCTCTTCGTTCCCTTTCCCGAAACTCCGCTTCTCTGTTCATGTGCTCCCTCATTTCTCTCTCGGAAACGAAACGACGCTGGTCTTCATAGGGAACGGCTCTGGATGGTCGCTCTGGGTTGTACTCCGCCGGGCCAGGCGGTCGCGCGTCTTCTGGCCTACCATAGACGGGATCTCCAGGCGGCGGGCCTCTTCCCATATCCACAGATCTTGGGGGGATTCCGTGATAAGATCTCGGCTGACTACTCGGCCTAGGAGGCACATTGGCGGTAGGGATTCGTCCCTGCTGTTCTCTCCTCTCTTCAGCCGGCGGCATTGGTGG